CGCTCCTGCTCAACAATACAACTGATAACACCTACATTCATTCACCAAATCCACGAAACAATTTATTAAAAACTATCAAACACATTGAATCTTCAAACTGACCCAAATAATCAATCACTCACCTTATATAGATCTTGCCGAAACAATCCAACTTAGAAATCCCGTAAATTAATTTCTTTTTAATCACCTGACCCCACAGAGAGTAAAATTTAAATGAAAGTACAAGTGTGTATACACTGTAACAGACTGAATACCGATATTTACAGGAATAAACCTGCAGACATGACATCAACATTATATATATCACTTCCCTATAAATGACGAAACAAGTACAAAACTGCAGACATTATCGAAACAGACTACTTAATTAGATTAGGAATGACTATTCAGAGAAACAAATAAAATAATATACAGATTTATTCAATATAGGCAAACGTAAACTTACAATTACAAATTTTTTAAAAATAAATTCTGAAATTTAATACAAATATTAAAACTAAATCCAATTTCTAAATAAATACCTCTTTTTTCATTCAGGCGGGAGAGTAAAGAGTTCTATTTATTCTTCTCATTGTTTGGGAACTTTTAACTCCGATAACCCATTCCTAATTTATTCAAAAAATTCAGCCACTTTTGCTAAAGAATCAGAAATAATAAAAGATTGTCTTTGTTTGAACCCCCCAATCCCTCTTTTATCCCCTTTACAATATATACTAAAGATACACTGAAAACACACATTGCTAAACTAGAGACAGAAACAGTAGAGTTAAATACCGGAATATTTACAATTACAGAGAGATTCACAAACCATACACTCTATCTAGATAACGAATACCTAAGAATACATAAAAACACAGACACACTTCAAACCACAGACTGTTTCCCACTAACTCTATCCACACATACACTTTTAGAAACACACACCATCCCAGCCAGGATAACACCTAATAACCTGAACTCTTCACAACACGAACTTAACAAGTGTCTTAACCAAATGAACACATATGTATTATCATCTAGAAAGGCAGAACATCTCATACAACCTTCCACTAGAACACACCCAGCACTTAGAGCACACACACCTTACCATGATATAGCCCTAGTTTTAGGAAATTTGAACACAAACACTTTTGAACACAAAATCATCATCACCTTGATTTCAACTCAAGTTATTTCGATTATCGTTTTTGTAATAACATTGTCCATGTCTGTCAGTTGAACAAGGCGCGGCCTTCTTTATATTCATAGATCCCTAATCTTGAGAAATTCTGAACCTTCTGAAGTTTCATTCTCTATCCGGAATAACAGAGCACAATTTGGAAATTCTGCCCAATCTGAAAGCCTTATGTTACGCCATTAAACACAACCTTAATGTATGTATTAAAAAAAATTAGAAAAAGTAAATAAAAAGAAGAAAATTTAGAAAAAGCAAATAAAAAAGATAAAATTCGAGAAGCAAATAAAAACCTAAAAAATCTAAAAAAAATGAAAAAAAAATTATTCCTGCAAACGACATTTCTTTCTTGAGAGGGGAGGTTGTAGTGAATCCCTGTTTTCCTGAATCCTTGATTTCTAACAATTTCAACGTTAAAAATAGATATCTGATGGAATCCTTGCTTTTCCCATAGATCTAATCTCTTGCACCTAACAATTATAGAAATTGATGGGTTCCCCGCTGTCATAATCTGATTCTTTCTTCTCCCTATTCAGAGATAATTACATCCCTAATGTCTAGACAAATCCCGATAAAGAAATGACTATTTTTAGTGGTCATAAACCCTCCCCCTCCCTTTCTTGTACCACTTCCCCCCTTCATAAAGAACCGATTAGTTTAAATATACTTTACATTATGCAATTCTAACTAGTAAATAAGAAAAGGAAGTTAAATAGTGCTCGTTTTATTTTGTATATAATTAATGTTTGTTATATCATAATTTTGTAAAGAATATTTGTTATTGTTATGCTTTGTAACTCATATCGTTATCTAATTCTTGATGATGGAAAGAACCCCAGGTCTTCAACACTCTACGACAAGCACTGGAAGGACCTCGGACAACATCTACCGAGGACTGATGAACCTGAATTAGAACATTGATTACTGTTTAGTTGAACATTCTCTTTAATAAATGAACCCACACAACCCTCTCTTCACAAAACTATTAAAGTATTTTTATTACGCAAACACTTAAAAAAAGTAAAAATGTCTTGTAGAAATAATGATTGTTTGATAGTTGTAAAGGTAGACGACATTTGAAAGGAAAAACATTTATCGCGTTTCACCCTTCAATGAGACAGAATTAAAAGCGCATTTATTTGAGTAAACTAATAATTTTAATTGTTTTAAAACTGGTTATGATGTCTAAAATTGTGCAGAAATGATAAAAAAACACCTGTGGGACGTGGGTACAGCTCTTTAAGGTGGGTATGCTCTCCATACACGACACTGCAAATTTTAGGGATTTACATTCTCTGTATTTCAACAAACAGGGGCGTAAGAGAGCTTTGGTGTAAGGGGGGCACGTTTTGCTCGCGCCAAATTTTTGTTGTGCACCCCCTAGAAGATTTTGTACCCCTTAAAACCTCTATTTTTTAGTTTTATATCTATATTTAAGAACCTTACGTCTTTCATACTTTGGCTTTGCTTGGCTTTGAAATTATATTTGTTAATTAAATATCAGGGGTGCAAAGGAAATATTTTTTCCTTAAAACTTAGATCTGTTGGTGGGTTTCAGGATAAGAAATTGTAGGGTTTTATTTGCTGAATTTTTAGGTAGGAAGTAATAAAAAGAAAAACAATTTTTTCCCCCTAGTTTATCAAAAATAATTTTTCAAACCCGTGACTACCAGTGCGGACACCAATCCATTTTCTGGTTGTTGGAAAGTTTCCTTCCTATCTAAAGGGAACTTGTTACCCACACTTACCACTTATTACAATATACATTTCTTCAAATTCTAGCAATATAAATTTAAACTTCAGGAGCTTCAAGAGAGGAACCATCATATTCCGGCTTTGGTGCAAGGTAATTATACTTTTAAGATTTTAAGAGTTCAAATCGTTGTGCAAATGGGATCGAATTTAATAAGTTGAGAGGTCGTTGAACTTGTTCACATCCTGAATCATCACTCAAATCCTCATTAAGCTTTAAATTTGAATCGTTGATTTAAATTTGAACCTGCAGAGGTAGTTGAGCAACCCAGCTATAAATGATTGAATTTGGTCATTGTTGTTGTAAAGTTTTATTTATGTTTAAAAGTCCAAGCTTACAAATAAACTGCAGTATATAATCATTGTTGTTCTGGGACATCACTTTTTCCTAATTTTAAAGTCGGGGTCATTTTTTTGTGTTCATTTTCAAATATATGTATATTTTACATGTACAATTTGAACATGTAAATGATGAATTATGATTCAATGTTTCTTAAATCTGAAATTTAAAGGTCTGGAAAGAGGATGTATAGCAGATGTCTGAAGCTTTGGTTGAAAATTGACAATCCATCCAAGCGTATAGTCGGCCATAAATACTAAATCTCGTTTGTTTTCTTCCATATTTGAGAATTTTTTTTGTTTAATTGATATTGTGATAGATGTATACATGAAAATTATTCATAGTTGTTAAATATATTTCTACTGATGCTAGCCTTTTTTATGTTTGCTGGCCATACAGTGATAACCAGATCTAAATTATAAAATAGGAAGACGACTTTTGGAATAAAGTTATAACTTTAAAAAGTTCAATGAGTATAGAGACACTGCAATTATGCAGTGTAAACAGACCCATTTTATTAATTCAGTGTTAAGTTTATTCGCCTTTTAACAAGATTTCATTCAGATGTTTTTTGGTTTATAGTGAATTTAAATTTTGGGCAGAGCTCTGCAGCTTTAAGCATGTTCATGTCGGCCAGGCAATGTAAGTTCTTGGCAGTGCACACAGCTAAAAGTGCGAATGCACATTTTGCTGTAAGAAATTTATATTGAAGTAATTGTAGAAGGGGTAAAGAAAATTTTGGTCTTCGTGGATTTTTGCTAATTTATATAATTTAAAATATTTCTCAGCAGGGGCGTACGAGGGGGGGGGCCGCGCCCCCCGCCCCCCTCTACGCGTGCCCCCCCTGAGAGGCTGAGGAGGGGCATCCATGGGGGAGGCTCTTTTAATATTACATCTGCTTGCATTTCCCTTCCTCAGGTCAGGCACAGTGGTGTACCTAGGGGGGG